AACAACCATCTCACTAACTACCTGACCATATAACAACCATCTCACTAACTAACCAGCCAATTTAACTACAATGTCCCACTAACTTACCACCAATAACAACCATCTCACTAACACACCAAAACAACCATCTCACTAACTACCACACCACTAAGCAACCATCTCACTAACTACCAAACACTAACACACCATCCCACTAAACTACCACCACTAACAACCCATCTCACTAACTACCACCACTAACATCCATCTGACTAACTACCACCCACTAACAACCATTCTCACTACTACCACCCTAACAACCATCCTCACTAACTCACCACAACCAACCAACTCACTAACGAGCCACCAATAACAACCATCTCACTAACTAACCACCAATAACAACCAGAACAACAACCATCCACAACTACTAGGTTTTCATCACCAATAACAACCATCTCACTAACTACCACCACTAACAACCATCTCACTAACTACCACCACTAACAACCATCTCACTAACTACCTCCACTAACAACCAATACATGACCTTTGACCTGTGATTTGAGACTACACTTGGCAACCAGTGTAGGCTTCCCTGGTGCCAGTTAGGCTTTTCCTGGTGCCATGTAGGCTTCCTGTACCAGTGTAGGCTTCCCTGGTTGCCAGTGTAGGCTTCCCTGTGCCAGTGTAGGCCTTCCCTGGTGCCAGTGTAGGCTTCCCTGGTGCCAGTGTAGGCTTCCCTGGTGCCAGTGTAGGCTTCCCTGGTGCCAGTGTAGGCTTCCCTGGTGCCAGTGTAGGCTTCCTCTGGTGCCAGTGAGGCTTCCCTGTGCCAGTGTATGCTTCCCTGGGGCCATGTAGGCGTTCCTGGTGCCAGGGAGGCTTCCTCGCGCTGGTGCCATGTAGGCGTCCTCAGGTGCCAGTGTAGAGGCTTCCATGGTGCCAGTGTTAGGCCTTCCCCTGGTGCCATGTAGGCATCCCAGTGTGCCAGGTAGGCTTTCCCCTGGTGCCAGTGTATGGCTTCCCTGGTGCCAGTGTAGGCTTCCCTGGTGCCAGTGTAGGCTTCCCTGGTGCCAGTGTAGGCTTCCCTGGTGCCAGTGTAGGCTTCCCTGGTGCCAGTGTAGGCTTCCCTGGTGGCCGTTGTTGGCTTCCCTGGTGCCAGTTGTAGGCTTCCCGTGCCAGTATAGGCTTCCTGGTGCCAGGGTAGGCTTCCCTGGTGCCAGTGAGGCTTCCCTGTTGCCAGGTGTAGCTTCCAAGGTGCCAGTGTAGGCTTCCCTGGTGCCATGTAAGGCTTCCTGGTGGCCAGGGAAGCTTCCCTGGTGCGCAGTGGTAGGCTTCCTCTGGTGCCAGTGTAGCTTCCCAGGTGCCAGTGTTAGGGCTTCCCTGGTGCCGGTTGGTATAGGCTTCCCCTGGTGCCAGTGTAGGCTTCCCTGGTGCCAGTGATAGTCTTCCCTGGTGCCAGTGTATGGCTTCCTTTCCCTGTGCCAGTGAAGGAGCTTCCCTGTGCGTTGATAGGCTTCCCAGGTGCCAGTGTAGCTTCCCTGGTGCCAGTGATATGCTTCCCTGTTGCCAGTGTAGGCTTCCCCTGGTACCAGATGGTAGGCTTCCTGGTGCCAGTGTAGGCTTCCCTGTACCAGTGTAGGCGTCCTGGTTTCCCTGGTGCCAGTGTAGGCTTCCCTGGTACGCGAGTGTAGTATTCCCAGGTGCCAGTGTAAGGCATCCCGAGTACAGTGTAGCTTCCCTGTGCCATTGTAAGGTGTTCCTCTAGTTGCCATGAAGCTTCCTGGTGCCAGTGTAGGCTTCCCTGGTGCCATTAGGCTTCCCAGGTGCCAGTGTAGTCTTCCCCCCTGGTGCCATGTAGGCTTCCCTGTTGCCCATGTGTAGGCTTCCCCTGGTGCCAGTGTAGGCTGTCCCTGGTGCCAGTGTAGGCTTCTCGTGGTAATCAGTGAAAGCTTCCCTGTTGCCAGTGTAGCTTCCCTATGCCAGTGAAGCATCCCTGGTGCCAGTGTAAGGTCCATAGACCTACTTGGCCATACCTACTTGGGGCCATGACCTACTGGGGCCATGACCTTCTTGGCCATGACCCACTTGGTGGCCATGACCTCCTTGGTCCATTGACCTACTTGGTCCATGACACTACTTGTGGCCTTGGACCTACTTGGTCCATGACCTACTTGGTCCATGACCTACTTGGGCCATGACCTACTTGCCTATGACCTCCTTGGTTCCATGACCTACTGGGCCAGGAACCTACTTGGGCCAGTATCTACTTGGGCCATGACCTACTTGGGCCCATGACCTACTTGGGGCCATGACCACTTGGCCATGACCTACTTTGGCTTGGTCCATGAACCTACTTGCCGCCATGACTCTACTTGCGCTATGTTCCCAGTAATCGATTGTGTGGGTGTGTTGTGTATGTGTGTTGGGTGATCTTGGAGCCAGGACCTAGTTGGGCCATGACCTACTCTTGGGCCATGACCTACTTGGTCCATGACCTACTGTCCATGACCTACTTGGCTTGGTCCAGACCTACTGGTCCCCATGACCAACTTGGGCTGGGGGGGCCATGACCTACTTGGGCCATGACCTACTTGACCATGAACCTACTGGTCCATGAACCCTACTGGTCACCAGACCGAATCTTGGGCCATACTACTTGGCCATGACCTACTTGGGCCATGACCTACAGGGTCCATGACCTACTTGGTCCATACCTACTTGGCCATGACCTACTTGGTCCGGATGACCTACTTGGGCCATGACCTACTGGTCCATGACCTACTTTGGGCCATGACCTACTTGGGGCCATGAACGACTTTGGAGTCCGAATGGACCCTACTTGGGCCCATGACCTAACTTGTGGCCATGACCTACTTGGCCATGACCTTCTTGGGCCATGACCTACTTGGGCATGACCTACTTGGGCAATGACCAACTTGGGGCATCTGACCTACTGTGGCCATGAACCTACTTGGGCCATGGACCTACTTGGCCATGACCTACTCTTGGGCAATGAAAAATCGTGGGCCATTGACCTACTTGGCCATACCCTACTTGGGGCCATGACCCTACTTTGAGCCATGAATCTACTTGGTCCATGACCTACTTGGCCATGGACCTACTTGGCCATGACCTACTTGGGCCCAATAACTACTTGGTCCATGACTCTACTTGGGGCCCATTAGTCTCTACGTGGCCAAGACCAACCTTGGGCCATGACCTACTTGGGCCATGACCTTACTTTGGCCCATGACCTAATCTTGGGCCATGACCTAAGCTTGGGCCATGACCTACTTGGGCAATGACCTACTTGGGCCTATGACCTACTTGCGCCATTGAACCGACTTGGGCCATGACCTACTTGGTCAGAACCTAAATGGGCCCATGACCTACTTGGGCCATGACCTACTTGGGCCATGACCTACTTGGGCCATGACCTACTTGGGCCATGACCTACTTGGGCCATGACCTACTTGGGCCATGACCTACATGGGTCCCATGGACCTAACTTGGGCATGACCTACTTGGGGCCATGACCTACATGGGGGCCATGACCTACTTGGGTCATGAACTACAAATGGGCCATGATCCTACTTGGGCCATGACCTACTTGGGCCATGACCTACTTGGGCCATGACCTACTTGGGCCATGACCTACTTGGGCCATGACCTACATGGGCCATGACCTACTTGGGCCATGACCTACTTAGGGGCCATGTCATACTTGGGTGTCCATGACCACTTGGGGGTCATGACCTACATGGTGCCTGACCTACTTGGGCCATGACCTACTTGGGCCATACCTACATGGCCATGACCTAGGCTTGGGTCATGACTAACGTGGGCCATGTACTTCTACTTGGGCCATGACCTAGCTTGGGGCCATGACCCTACTTATCACACCTGGCTATAATGTGCACCCACCTACCACTGCTGCAGCTCACCTGCCTGAGGGTATATAAGCAACGCTTCCGCTAATAATGACTGATTCACGATTTATGGTACTGCTGACCACACGACTCAAGGTTGAGGACTCTGATGTACCGTCAGACTCCTCCGTTCTTCAGTGTTCTCCTTTGTATGGACTGATGAAGCCACTGTGTGGCCAAACGTTTTCTCAATAAAGATACCCAAGAGTCGCACATGTGTCTAATTTATTAAACCCAGGATGTGACCCACACCAGTCCACTAACAGCCAGGATGTGACCCACACCAGTCCACTAACACCCAGGATGTGACCCACACCAGTCCACTAACAACCAGGATGTGACCCACACCAGTCCACTAACACCCAAGATGTGACCCACACCAGTCCACTAACACCCAGGATGCCACTCACACAAGTCCACTAACACCCAGGATGCCACCCACACCAGTCCACTAACATCCAGGATGCCTCCCACACCAGTCCACTAACACACAGGATGTGACCCACACCAGTCCACTAACACTCAGGATGTGACCAACACCAGTCCACTAACACCCAGGATGTGACCCACAATAGGCCACTAACACCCAGGATGCCACTCACACCAGTCCACTAACACCCAGGATGCCACCCACACCAGTCCACTAACACCCAGGATGCCACCCACACCAGTATACTAACACCCAGGATGTGACCCACAACAGTCCACTAATGCCCAGGATGCCACCCACACCAGTCCACTAACACCTAGGATGTGACCCACACCTGTCCACCAACACCCAGGATGTGACCCACACCAGTCCACTAACACCCAGGATGCCACCCACACCAGTCCACTAACACCCAGGATGCCACCCACACCAGTCCACTAACACCCAGGATGTGACCCACACCAGTCCACTAACACCCAGGTACCCATTTTACCCTGATGGGTGAACAGGGACAGAAACAGCAGGGACACGTCCCTAATGTTTACCAGCCATACCGGAGGAGAATCGAACCCCAGACCTCTGTGTGTAAAATGAGCGAGCTAGCGATCGAGCAACGGGTACCAGAGTGTAGTATAGAGTGTACTTGAGTGTAGTATAGTGTAATACAGTGTGTACTCACCTCCAGACGTGGGAAGTATACCCTGGACACTTGTCTCTGCACATGAGACATGGCTGTCCCTCGTCCACCTCCTGCACAAGTACGCCCTGAAAGTAAAGAAAACGGGGTGAGTAAATTAATTATTATTAATAATCATTAATTATTATTATTGATGGGGAAGGGCTAGACACGTAGGGGATATCTATAAGCCAAGCTGTGTGGCTTATGGCCCGTGAGGTCCCTCCCCAGGATGCCACCCACAACACTCACCTGACACCCAGGTACCTACTTACTGCTAGGTGAACAGTGACAGCAGGAGTAAGGTGACTAACACCCAGGTACCTAATTATTGCTAGGTGAACAGTGACATCAGGTGTAAGGTAACTAACACCCAGGAACCTACTTACTGCTAGGTGAACAGTGACAGCAGGTGTAAGGTAACTAACACCCAGGTACCTACTTACTGCTAGGTGAACACTGACAGCAGGTGTAAGGTAACTAACACCCAGGTACCTACTTACTGCTAGGTGAACAGTGACAGCAGGTGTAAGGTAACTAACACTCAGGTACCTACTTACTGCTTGGTGAACAATGACAGCAGGTGTAAGGTAACTAACACCCAGGTACCTACTTATTGCTAGGTGAACACTGACAGCAGGTGTAAGGCAACTAACACCCAGGTACCTACTTACTGCTAGGTGAACACTGACAGCAGGTGTAAGGTAACTAACACCCAGGTACCTACTTACTGTAGACAGCCTGTACTGTCTGCACAGACAGCCCATGCTGTCTGTCAGCTTAGTTCATATTTCGCGCTATGCTGGTGCTGCCACCTATAGGCCTTGCCACTTCAGTATGCCCAGACTTGCCTCGCTCTCACTCACACAGCGGCCTGGCATCAACACACAAGTACTCCCAGCTCTCTCTCGTGGGCATGGCCCTGCCCGGGCCATGGGCACAAACACACAAGCCTGTGTAACCCACTACTACTTAACAATAAACAAAGAAGCCTCCGAAGACGTATATCATTCACCACAGCGGTGGTCGCAGCGTTGTGTTTACCCTGGAGAGAGGAAGAACATAAGAACATAAGAACGAAGGAACACTGCAGAAGGCCTACTGGCCCATGCGAGGCAGGTCCAAGTCCCTACCGGCTTAAGCCAATGCACCCAACCTAGTCAGGTCAGGTCACATTGACTCAAGGGAGGAACACGGCAACCGACCCGTTAGCACAAGCTATCAGGTCTAACTCACACCCACCCACATCTACTCATGTATTTATCCAACCTATTTTTAAAGCTACACAACGTTCTGGCCTCTATAACGGTACTTGGGAGTTTGTTCCACTCATCCACAACTCTATTACCAAACCAGTACTTTCCTATATCCCTCCTGAATCTGAATTTTTCCAACTTAAAACCATTGCTGCGAGTCCTGTCTAGGCTAGATATTATCAGCACACTATTTACATCCCCTTTATTTATTCCTGTCTTCCCTTATAAACCCTCAATCATATCCCCCCTAATTCTACGTCTTTTAGAGAGTGCAGTTTCAGGGCCCTTAGTCTATCCTCATAGGGAAGGTTTCTGATACATGGGATCATCTTTGTCATCCTCCTTTGTACATTTTCCAGAGAATTTATATCCATTCTGTAATACGGTGACCAAAACTGTGCAGCATAATCTAAATGAGGCCTAACCAAGGATGTATAGAGTTGAAGAACAACCTGAGGACTCCTATTATTTATGCTTCTTGATATGAAGCCAAGGATTCTATTAGCTTTATTGCGAACACTTATGCACTGTTGTCTTGGTTTCAGATTACTGCTAACCAGAACTCCTAAATCTTTTTCGCAATCCGTAAATATTAAGATCGTACATTATTTAGTTTATATGTGGCATGGTTATTGTCCTGTCCAACATTTAGAACTTTGCATTTGTCTATATTAAACTGCATCTGCCACTTCTCGACCACTGCATCAGTCTATTCAAAATCTTCCTGGAGTGCTCGAATGTCCTCGTCAGAATGAATTCGACGGCCTATTTTGGTGTCATCGGCAAACTTGCCGATGTCGCTCTTTATGCCCTCATCTATGTCGTTTAGTAGATGTGAACAGCAGGGGGCCCAACACTGACCCCTGTGGAACACCGCTCGTGACGCTTCCCCACTCTGATTTCTCCCCATTTATGCAAACTCTCTGCTGCCTATTGTCAACCATGCCTCTATCCAGGAAAAAATTTCTCCTCCTATTCCATGTGCTTTTAAATTTTCCTCAATAGTCTCTGATGTGGGACCCTGTCAAAAGCCTTACTGAAGTCCATATACACAATATCATATTCGTTACCATGATCTACCTCCTCAAATACCTTAGTGAAAAAAGTTAATAAATTCGTAAGGCAGGAACGTCCCTTTGTAAAACCATGCTGAGATTCGTTGATTAATTTATGCTTTTCAAGTGGCTACGAACTGCCTCGGCAATTATTGATTCCATAAATTTTCCCACTATGGAGGTTAGGCTTATTGGTCTATAGTTCGAAGCTAAGGAGAGGTATGAAGTCACCTTCACTTCATCACCCTACACAAGAAGCATCCGTCTCTCAACGAGTTATCCTGATGTCGTGTCTGCACGTTTGAGCATCCGACACAGTACAAGCAGGATCCAGCCGAAATTATCGAAATTCTCGAGAATTGTGAGGTGGCGTCACAGTGACCCCACGCTACAAGCGTCCACGCTACAGTGTCCCACGCTGTTTCAAAATCACGTGTTCAGCGTCACTGTATGTTCCCGTTGTTTTTCAGCTCACACAGCTTTTTTTCAGCAACCAAAAGGGATTTTTGTGGTGATTCTGCGTCCATTGAGTTTCCCACGTGTTTTGGGGGGGGAGGAAGGAGAGGAATGGCGGTTCCCCCCTTTGCCCATTGCTCCCCCTACTCCAGCTCACCCCGTCAAAACCATACACCACCCCAACCACCCCCTGGCCCCTCCCTGGGGTTTTTTTCCCGGCTTTTTTTTTCGTATAAATTTTCATTCCCAGTGCTGGGTATCCGAGTCCCCCGGGGGGCCACTCGAAGCACGGGGATTATGACGTCACGGGGGTGTGGCGATCCCCCGAACCTACAAACCCACTGATTACCAATGTCCCCAAAGGGGGCCCTCAGGGCTGTGGTCATCCCCGCCCGCTTTCACATCAAACGACGCCCCCCCACATGCTGCCCCGACTTCATGAGGGCCCACATGCCCGGGCTGACTTTCACCCACGATGTCTGCGACGTACCCCCAGATTTCTGCTGACGCCACCTCACATGTCTGCACCTCGAATGTCTGCGGGGGACGTCACCCCGGGGCTTGTTTTGGCTGACGTCACCCACGATGCCCTGCCTGACGTCACCTTCAGATCTAAAGTCAGGGAGCCCTGCGGGACGTAAACCTCACGATTTTGCCTACGTCCCCCCTCGAGATTTTCTTTTTGACGTCACTGCTGCGGGACGCACCTTGCGACATCACCCTGACACCCACATGTGTCACAGGGGTTTTTCTAGTAATTTTTTTCAGTATTGTCGAGAAGATTGAGAAAAAATATATGTCGTGTTTTAAATTAATTCCTCTCAGTCAGTTTCTCCTTTTTTTAGTATGTTTTTAGCCCATTTTTAAATGCGCAAAAAAAGAAATCATTTGCTATTTAAAGGGCCCAATTTTTGTCCCCGTAGGGTACACGGTGTTTTTTAAATTTCCGTGGCCCAGTGGGGGCCCTGTGGTCAGACCCTTGAATTGTACCACTAAGTCACCCGCCTGCCCTTTTGTTTGCAGCTGATTTCTCACCCTGAGCGTATAAAGCCCCCTTGTACAAAAAGGGCTTTTATGCTCGCGCTCGGATTTCTGTAGAATCGAACCTGTACGATTCCCATCGAGATTTTTTTCCCACTTCACCTCCAGACCGTCAGGGCGGGGTTTTATTTTGGTAGAGAAACAATTTGGGGGACGCTTAGGCTAACCTCTGCTATAACTCCAAGGGGGGTTTCATAAGATATACTCGCCCAACCGAAAGCCCACCCTGTCGGCAGGCGCTGTCCCCCTCGTGCCCAACAAAAACTTCAGTGACACCTGCACAAAGATGAGCCCATTTTGCTGCTAGTCCTCACTGCAGTCTGGTGTATGATGTTACGACTTCCAGATGTTTCCCCCAGTCGTCTCTGCCACGTTTTCGCTCCACAACTCGCCCCAAACGCTCCCCGGGCAGGAAAACCCCAAAAGCGACAGAAACCAGCCCGAAAAAGGGGTCCCCTGAGTCGTTGCCAAAATTTCCTCCCCGGGTTTGCCAGTTTTGTCGACCCCCATCACTCGGGGCACCAGCATTTTCTGCCCCGGTTGGGGAAAACCTGCACGACTCCTACATGACTGTTTAACCTTTCCCCAGAGACCGAACCCTTTTACTCACACTCAGCCGCACCCGATGCCCTCCCGTGTTCCCAGTATCTGTCCAGACGCAGGAAAAGGCGTGCAGGGGAACCCCTCGACGCTCACTGCCTTTGACCACGATTTAGCACACCCCACTTGTTTTTTTTTCCCCTCCCTTAGGAATTTTTTTTTTCCATGCCCCTATGAAATATATATGTTTTTATTTTGTGTTCTGTGCCCTGTTCCTACGAAAAAAGACCGAGTTTCCTTTTTCAACCAGATTTTTCCCCGTTTGGGACACGGGGCCCGGGAAGTGGCCCCAGGGGTATGTAGACACCTGTTCTGTCTTCACAGACGCCCTTTCTTCCCCGCCCCTTATTTCCAAAAATTTTTTGCGCTTGCGGGCTGCCACCTAAGGGCCCTTTCCACTTTATATGCCCAGACTTTCCCCGCCCTACTCACACAGCGGCCTGGCATCAACACACCCAAATACTCCCAGCTCTCTCTCGTGGGCATGGCCCTGCCCGGGGCCCTGGGGACAAACACACAACCTGTGTAAAACCCCCTCTACTTAACAATAAAAAAAGAAGCCTCCGAAGACGTATATCTTTTACCCCCCCTCTACAGCTTACCAAACAACCCCTTAAAATTACTGCTAGGTGAACATGACAGCAGGGGGGTCAGGTAACTAACAAAAACCCAGGGACCTAC